CRYCAWYWWAAGACATTGGCGAAGTCAAAGGACGACGATAAAATCTTGAAGTTTGATGAAAGGTAATTTTAATCCAATATCGTCATCACTGTTGATACATAGGTTTGCAAATGAGTCGCCYCGGCAATAWATTTAGTTGTGTAGGATTTTMGGTTTGCCTATTTCATTTAAAATCTATTGAAATGTTTATATACACATTTTGCATTTTTCCACACTCGTCTAACATGATYGAACCTTAATTACTGCAAAAGTGATTGCGTGACTTAATAAAGCCCTGTTTGTACACGTACATCGTACAGGATACGTATCTCGATTTACAAACATGCATTATTTAGAAAMTGAAATTGCTCTRTATTTTCAGTAACGATTCTGAGCATAACATGGYCGTCTTTCACATGATGAAAGGCGAGTTATATCACAAGTATCAGGGCGARGATAAATGCCCATGGAACATCCTACAAATAYAAGGTAATCATTTTTAGTTACTACAAGAAAAAGACTATAAATATATCAGAAAATAATACTGATACATTGGACTGGTGGACGGATCTGACTTGTTTTTAATCTTATTACATTTATTTACAGAGGCCTACAAAAGCAGAAAAGCAGGCGTAATTACTTAAGGCGATGCCGTAATAACACCAACGTCGCCCACATCACCACATGCAGGCGCCAGAACAGGAAAAGAGAGGTATTGAAAATGTGATCAAATTAATGATGTAAYSAAGTGTGTGAAAATTACCGCGCGAGCGTGAACTGTAGTAGTTTTATATGTACAATTGTTCGAAAGTAATATATAATTTCTCCATGTTACAGAAACTTGGAAGACGTGTGAAAAGCCTGGCAGAGATGGACTGGAGTGACGCTAAAAGAGCAAAAGTKGCCGAGGTCATGTACTGTGACTATATGTCCAGTGAAGAGAGCGACGTAGATGATGGCGGAAACAAAATATATGTTGTACGTCCTCTTCAGTGGCAGTCAGATAAGCTGACGAAAAAGAAAAAGGCCTTGGATMGACACCATTCCAGATCTTTMGCTCGTCTCGTTAGAGAAAGASTTGGTGGGAGAATCCAGGGGACACAATCCACACGAGMAGTCCCCGATTCCTGCCCTGGGTGGGCAAAGAAAGACAATGTGTAGATATATGTTTATATATTAGTAGAAATAAGTAGAATACAGTGGTTTTAATTAATCCGTAAAATAGTAAGTAGACTAATAGACACTATTCAATCCTATTTCTATTGTTTTCTTTTGTCTTCAGTCTGACCTTTACGCACTGACTATTAGATTGTGTTTCACGGATTAATTGAAACCACTCTAGTGCAGTCTACTGTTAACAGCACCAATTACCGGCGAGGAAWTTGCCTTGTTTTAACTCGAACTATCGCTTCTTATCTATGCTTGTAAAGTTAAGAAATTTGAGTAGTGAGCGTGACTTAAATGAAATATCGCGCGTTAAAACTAGTCTACTATGTTTATATATACACAAATTGTTTTGCCAGTGCACGAGAATATAGTCTGTGCGCGGACATAAAATATAAATTACGATCACACCGCTGATCACTCATGAAAATTCAACTAATACATCTGTGACRGTAGGATCTGTACAAGCATTTTTATGCGAAGATCGAGATAGMGAGCTGTAAAATGACAAATTTCGCTAGCCGTAAAGTTTTTATAATTAATATTAACTAATATGTAGTATTAGTAGAAAATATGTAGTATATGTAGTTCATGAAATATTAGAGTGAAACAGTGAAATACATATTTGACTATTACATGTTGTTACTCGATAACTCAATTGTTTTCTTTTGTGTCTATTTGACTATTACAGTTTAACTATTAACTTTTATTTCACCGGTTCATTGCGTTCACTCTAATATCACCATTTGTATTACATTCACTTTAGACTGGATTTGAAGATATGATATTTTCCTTTTGTGTTCAATTGAATGCAAAAATAGTGCAACAATACCATAGTGATGTATGTTTTATTACAATAGCCATTAAAAGATTTTAACGATATCAATACTTGTTGCCTCTCTGAATTCATTTGTGAACATTAGCTTATCAAGTTTTATAATGCATAGCTGAAATATATGGAAGCGTTTTGATCAAAATATTTCTTTTTTGTCAATTTCGGAAGTCTAAAGATATCATTGAATCACCTTTAACCACAATTGCATATTAACGGTAAAGCTTGCAAAATGGGCCATTCTGATCAAAGTTAAAGGTGTTTAAATATACCTTTAATGCTCAGTGTAAAGCTAATTAAAGGGACCATGACTATGGCTTTAGCAAGCCTTTAAGCTAGTTTAAAGATAAAGACCTTTTCCTCTCTTTATAAATAGATTTAAAGAAGTTTAAAGATATCTTTCSTTCTAATTATACACTAATTAAAGGACTTTAAAGATATCTTTACTTACCTTTATACCCACTCAATTAAAGGTGATTAAAATGTTACTTTAATAACATTTACGCTATAATTAAAGACAATGTAAAGATATCATTGAACCTCATTCATCACTATTTAGCTATTGCCGTAAAGCCTCCACTATGGCCCATTATAACTGGATTTAAAGGTGTTTAAATGTACCTTTCTCACCTTTACACTTTAAGCGTAAAGGTGATTATATACTCCATTAACATGCCTTTAACATGCCTTTAAGCTTGTTTAAAGATCTTATTTCGTCCTGTGTATAACCTGTCTCTGACAGGTTCCTGGCCCGGCCGGGTGGTGGGTGGTTCCCTCCTGTTTCGTGTTTTGTGTTTTTGCACATTGCGGCATAGTATTGCAAATAGGTTAATTACATGCTCAAAGTCTACTTGTCGTTTCTTWATTCCCATAAAAGTTTGTCCTAATCTGTTCTAGTCATTTAAAGATAAGATAAGTATCTTTAAATGACTAGAACAAGATACAAGATACAAGTTGTATGGGGCATCCCAACAAGGAATACATTTGCAATTGGGAGGGAAAACCCACCAACTTGTCTGGGCCACTATAATAATAATAATAATAATAATAATAATAGCAATAATAATAATAATAACAATAATAATATTAATAACAATAATAATAACAATAATAATAATAATAACAATAATAATAATAATAATAACAATAATAACGATATGACTGGCACATTACTGACCTACCATCTACTTGTGCGTGTGGTGATCTTTATACAGTTGATCATGCCATGGTATGTAGACGAGGAGGATTTGTTATTCAAAGACACAATGAGTTGCGTGATCTAGAAGCGGACATGCTAAAGAGTGTGTGCCACGACGTGGAAATAGAACCCTGTCTCCAGGAGATTTCTGGCGAAGTTCTGGCAAGTTGAACAAACAGAGCCCCGTTTTTGGGATAGACAAAGCTCTGCCTTTTTTGACGTGAGGGTATTTCACCCTAACGCAGAKTCCTACAAGAACCTAACAATCAAACAAGCCTACCAACAACATGAAAACCAGAAGAAGAGAGCCTACGCCAGTCGTGTATTGGAGGTTGAACAAGCAAGCTTCATCCCCTTGGTGTTTACAACAACAGGTGGTATGTCTGGAGAATGCCAGCGATTTCACAGCAGGCTAGCTGAGCTATTGTCCATAAAGAAAGGAGAGCCATACAGCACTACAGTGACCTGGATACGAACGAAAGTATCCTTTTCTCTCCTGAGGTCCGCCCTCTTACGTTTACGTGGCACTAGAACTAAAAAGCGAACTGTTTTGAACTGCATTGAACAGAGAGATCTTGAACTTGAACAATCACAATTTACCTAATTAACATATTTTATTTAAGAACAAGTTTTTTTTCTTTTTTTTCTTTTTATTCTCTTGTATTTATTATTCTCAATTTTTATCTTTGTGAAGTAGTTAGTGTATTATGTAGTATTTGAACTTTTAAACAAAATTATTATAAATTTTATTGTTACTATTACTCGACATTTTTTAGAAGATTGTAAAATGTTTTACTAGTGGAGGATTTATAATTTAATAA